ACATAACTAGAATCCCGCCATAAAGGGAAGGACTCCTTAAAGAGACCCTTCCCTTCGTCAGCTACTTGGTCACTGTATGGGTCTTACAGAAGCTACTTCAATGCTCATTCTTTCCAGAATAGTACCTTGGTTCTCCAGCATCCTCCCAAAGCGACCTGTACTGTTGTGATCATCATTATGAACTCATGGATTTTTAACATGTTTGATACGTTTTAATACTTTGCACCTATTCTTCCTGATGTTCAAAGTGTCCCATCCTCGGACAGTGGGAGCCTCTTCAAGTTGGCACCTGAGGCCTTTTGCCATCAGCACTAGGTTTTGGAGAGGTGCCCTTGGTAGCTCAGATGTGGCCCATTCATTTCAAGTTGAAATGCTGTTGCACCCTGTGCTGGGTGAACTTCAAAATACAGACATAAAGTTCTCTCTCTGCTTCTTAAAATCCTTCCGTGGATGAAGTCCACCCTCCTTCTCAGGGTTCACTGGGCACTTTTCTTCCTTCTCCAGGTGGATCTCTCCCTCCCCATCTTGAACTCGGGTCATTCACACTAAACTTTCTTGAGCTTCCTAAACATGCCACACACACCCATGATCTTGAACCAGGCTCTTCCCTCGACCTGTAATCCTTCCGCACCTTCCCCCCGCCCCCGCCCCTCCCCATGCCTTTGCCTGGCTGTCTTCTGTTCATACCTCTGGTCTCGTTTTAGCCATCCTTTCCCTGAGGAAACCTTTTCTGTTTCCATCTCCCCTAATGCTGGGTTGGGTGGCCCTTCCCCACTGAGGCAGACTTGGGCAAAAGCCAGCAGCAGGGCAGACCCCAGTCACCAACCTATCACTGGAAATGCCATGCGGTGAACAGAGTGCTCAAGGAGTGTCCCCTGGGTGGCCAGAAAGCTCACTTTGATCAACGCCTGGGGAGGGGAGTTGGCCCCCTGGGACTGGTGCTCACACCGCCTTCGTCCCTTCTGCTGAGGGGGTCCTGCGAGTCAGGGCCAGCATGGCATGGCTCTGGACCAGTGGTTCTCAACCTTCCTAACGCCGCGACCCTTTCATACAGCTCCTCATGTTGTGGTGACCCCCAACCATACAATGATTTTCGTTGCTACCTCATAACTGTAATTTTGCTACTGTTATGACTCGTCATGTAAATATCTGATATGCAGGATGTATTTCCATTGTTACAAATTGAACATAATGAAAGCATAGTGATTAATCACAAAAACAATATGTAATTATATATGTGTTTTCCGATGGTCTTAGGCGACCCCTGTGAAAGGGGTTGAGAACCGCTGCTCTGGACCATGCCAGAGGAGACAGCAGAGCCTGGCAGGCCTCCTGACCCACTGGTACCCTCTGCAGCCTCTGCTGGAGGGAGGGCTCAGCAAATGCTGGATACCAGAGAGCACCATATTGAAGTTATTACCCTCACAGTCCCCGTCCTGCCCCATCCCCCAGTCAGAGATAAGGCTTATCACTGTCTGTCTGTTTTGCCTCCACACCACCCCAAATTGCAGGCTTTATAAGAGCAGGGTCTGCCTGGCTTATCTCCGGCTCTGTCCCTAGCAGTCAGCATAGTTCCTGGGTTGTAGTGGTTCTTGGTACATTCTTGTTGAATAGGATCATCGTCGCCTTGGGAAACATCTCAGAATGCACCCTCCCCCTCCTGCAGACATGCAGTTCTCTCTGCTTCTTAAAATCCTTCAGGGGGTGAAGTCCACACTCCTTCCAGGGTTCCCTGGGCACTGTTTTTACTTCCTCCCTCCCCTTCACGAACTCAGGTCATTCATACTAACCTTCCTTGAGCTTCCTGACCATGCGACATGTGCTCCATCATCTTTCCCCGGGCTGTTCCCTGTAGCAAAGTGCAACCCTAAAGTCACCTGGGAGGGGAGAGGGATTGAGGGGGGAGTTGCCAGGGACCATTCAGACCTGTTTATTAATCCAAATCTCTGGGGGTGGAGCCTGCCGGGTGTCCTTTTTAAAGTTCCTCCCATGTTTCTGTTGCAGAAGACCAGAGAAAAACCAAGGCACGCTTAGAGAAAGGGAGTTACATTTTATTATTAAATTCTGCTCAGGCCCAGAGAAATATGTCTTTCAAATTCTGGGCCCCCCAACATGGAGGAAATCCTCTATTTATACTTTTTTCAGTCCTTTGTCTCCCAAATTTGGAAGGAGACTTCCAGGCCTTCTGAGAAAGAAGGCCTGTGTGCTGGGAAGGGGCCATCAGACCATATCTCAAGGCCTGGCCTGGTGTCAGCACTGAGGACTCTGTCTGGGCATAGTTTACGGCCTCTCTGGAATGGGAGTGGTCTTATTTTCCTTATTATTTAAGCAAGCAGGCGTTTACAGAAGCCATACCATCAGGGTTAAAATTTCAAACAGCAGTTCTTATATAAGATGGATGCTTCAATTCCAACGCGCAGCACGACTGACAACTCTTGGTCCAGTTGCAGGTACCCCTAACAGATGGCCCATGGCCCACACCAACCCCAGAGGAGCAAGCAGCAGGACTCCAATGTCCCCCGAGCTCCTGCCCCTGGACCTTGGCCTAGGGCAGTGATGGCGAACCTTTCGAGCTCAGCATGTCAGCATTTTGAAAAACCCTAACTTAACTCTGGTGCCGTGTCACATCTAGAAATTTTTTGATATTTGCAACCATAGTAAAACAAAGATTTATATTTTTGCTATTTATTTTATATATTTAAATGCCATTTAACAAAGAAAAATCAACCAAAAAAATGAGTTCGCGTGTCACCTCTGACACGCGTGTCATAGATTCGCCATCACTGGCCTAGCCTAGGGCCTCCCTGCCAGGCCAAGGAAACTAGGCCGGAAGCTGGCGGGGAACCGGGGCAGCGGTAGGGCCCTGGGACTGCAGTGCCGTGAACAAGCCCCCATTGCAGTTCGAGGAGATCCACGAGGTGATGGCGCGTTACAAGACGCTGGTGAGCATGCACCAGGACCTCATGCAGTCGGCGCAGGAGGGCCAGGAGAAGATCGAGCGGGCCAAGGCGCGGCTGGCGCGCTACATGGAGGAGAAGGACGACGAGATCCTGCAGCACAACAACGAGCTGGCGCGCCTGCAGATGCGCTTCGACCGCGCCCGCAGCGACGTCATCATCTGGGTGAGCCACCCGTGGGTGAAGGAGGGAGGGACAGGTGCGCGGGAGGCACACACACACACACACACACACACACACATGCACACACACAGGCTGTCCTCACATCCCTCCCGCGTGCCCTCCCAGGAATCCCGCTGGGCGCACATCCAGAACACCGCCGCCAAGAAGACCCTCTTGCTTGGCACCATCAAGATGGCAACGCTGAACCTCTTCCAGATCGTGAGCAAGCAGCTGAAGGAGACAACCTTCGTGTCCCTGGAGGACACGCACAAACAGCTGGACATGGTAAGAGGAGGTGCAGGTGCCGGCTGGGCTGTGTCTACTAAACCAAGATGGTGCTTGACCGGTTGAGTGGAGGAATGAACCGGATAGAGCCCCGGTTCTCAAATGTTAACAGGATTCCAATCACCTAGGCAGTGGTTCTCAACCTTCTGGCCCTTTAAATACAGTTCCTCATGTTGTGACCCAACCATAACATTATTTTCGTTGCTACTTCATAACTGTAATGTTGCTACTGTTATGAATCATAACGTAAATATCTGATGTGCAGGATGGTCTTGGGCGACCCGTGTGAAAGGGTTGTTCGACCACCAAAGGGGTCTCGACCCACAGGTTGAGAACCGCTGATAGGGTCTGCGGAGTATTGCTGGGCCCCATCCCAGAGTCTCTGATTCAACAAGACTGAAGCGGGAACCCACGAATTTCCATTTTCTTTTTAATCCTCACCTGAGGATGTGTGTGGTTTGTTTTTTTAATTGAACCTGACGGTGTATTGTGTTGTTGTCTTTTTTATTGATTTTAGAGAGAGAAGAAGGGAGAGGGGGAGGGAGAGGAGAGAGAGAGAAACATCAATGTGAGAGAGAGACATCATCGAACCTAAAACCTGGCTATGTACCCTGACCAGAATCGAACCCTCGGCCCTTCAGCCCTTCGGGTCACAGAACAGTGCTCCAACCAGCTGAGTCACACCGGCCAGGGCTGAATTTCCATTTCCAACAAGTCCCAGGTGCTGGCCTGGGTTCCACACTTTGAGAACCACTCACGGCATTAGAACTGAGTCCCTGTGGGCCCCAGTCAACAGGGACAGTAGCAGGGACCCACTATCGAATTCATTGTGCAAAACAGTCTTGTTAGATTTAGTGAGTTCCCAGAGGCTTATGCCCGAGGCCCACTCTTTGGGAAAAGAGAACGTTGGTGAGGGAGAAGGGAGGACAACCAGCACGTTTAGGGAAGTTGTCGAGTCATATTAGTGCCAGTCTGAGATTTTCTCTTTGAAGTCATTGAGTAACTTTTCACTGTCTGATCCAAAGCTATTTGACGCCATGTCATGTGCCACCTAACGTCATCTCGTTTCTGACCAAAGGTGAACACACCCCACAATTTGGGAGGTTCCACATCAGCAGATGCATTCGCCATGTTTCTGGCAACATGCAAAGAACCATGACTATGTATTCCTTTGGCAAAAGTCTTTAGCTCTGCTGTGCAGTAGTAGAAAGAAAGCTCTTAAACTGATTTTTCTCTTGTTCCCTACTGTAGCCCAGTGTCTAGAACAGTGATGGCGAACCTTTTGAGCTCGGCGTGTCAGCATTTTGAAAAACCCCAACTTAACTCTGGTGCCGTGTCACATATAGAAATTTTTTTATATTTGCAACCATAGTAAAACAAAGACTTATATTTTTGCTATTTATTTTATATATTTAAATGCCATTTAACAAAGAAAAATCAACCAAAAAAATGAGTTCGCGTGTCACCTCTGACACGCGTGTCACAGGTTCGCCATCACTATTCTAGACAATGCCAGCCACAGAGTAGGCCCTCAACTAGTATTTGGTGAATGAAGATCAAACACAAGCTACAAAAGGCAGTTGATTGAGGGGCACTTCCCCTTTTAACAACAACAAAGAGGTGAAAGTCATGAAACGTAAAGGATTTCACCCTCTGACCAGCCAGGAAGAAGGATTTCCCTAAACCCAAAACTCTGCCTCCTCCTTAAGGCAAGTGAGGGCAGCGTTGTTGACGGTCCAAAGACCATAAAGGGAATTTGTAAGAAAGTCTGCGCTGAAGCAGCAATTCTCAAACTTTTTGGTATCTGGATACCGTCACACTCTTAACATTTATTGAAGACCCTCGAAGAGCTTCTGTTTATATCAGTTATATCTACTGCTATGTAGCACATTAGAAACGCAAGCAGAAAAGTTAAAAATACTTAATTCATTCATTTTTAAATAACAGGAAGCAAATGAACATCAATAGCCTTTTTAATGAAAAATCCGTTTTCAAAAGCTGTTTTGTGGGATGAGTGGCGTACTTGACCCTTTTACAAATCCCCTTAACGTCTGGCTGCGCGGAGGACGGGTGGCTCCTCGTGTCCGCTTTCGCCTTCATCCTGTTTGACAGCCCAAGTCACTGAAACATTCTACTCTGGTAAAAGCCACTGCACACTCATGAGAGAATAAGAGCGAAAAACACACAAATAACATCTTTTTTTTTTCTTTTTTTTTTAAATATATTTTATTGATTTTTTTACAGAGAGGAAGGGAGAGGGATAGAGAGTCAGAAACATCGATGAGAGAGAAACATCGATCAGCTGCCTCCTGCACACCCGCCACTGGGGATGTGCCCGCAACCAAGGTACATGCCCTTGACCGGAATCGAACCCGGGACCCTTCAGTCCGCAGGCCGACGCTCTATCCACTGAGCCAAACCGGTTAGGGCACAAATAACATCTTAGATTATAAAAAGGGTTTGGGCCTGCAGCCCTCTCCCCAGCAGTGGGGTCTCGGGGACTCCGGGGGCCTTGGGCCCTTTCCTTTGGCTGCTGTGGAGACAGGTGGGCAGGGGGCTGCGAGCCCAGCTCCTCACCTCTGCCTGCGCATCCCTGCTGAGAGTACAGCTTCCAGCTCATCCACTCCGAGTTGTGAGCTTTCTGAGGCCCTTTCAACCTTGATTTGTCTCCACAGGAATACTTAACATAGCCCAAATCTTCTTCTAAAACAGGGGTCCTCAAATTTTTTAAACAGGGGGCCAGTTCACTGTCCCTCAGACCGTTGGATCGCCGGACTATAGTTTAAAAAAAACAACTATGAACAAATTCCTATGCACACTGCACATATCTTATTTTGAAGTAAAAAAACAAAACGGGAACAAATACAATATTTGTATTTGCATGTGGCCCGGGGGCCGTAGTTTGAGGACCCCTGTTCTAAAACATCCCACTGCATTCGCAAAGGATATGAGCCTACTGAGAGAAATACACACGATCCAGTAGCCTGAACAATTAAAAAATAAGGACCAGGAAAAATATAAGTTGAAATCCGAGGTCAGGGCAAGAGAGAGAAATAAAGACTGCAGACTCTGGCCTTACAAAGGACAGTAGTTGACGCTGAGCTTCCTGGCGACCAGGAGGAAGAGCAACACAGAGTTCTGGCACCAAAATAAGAAAACATATGTTTTCCTCAGAGAAAGGGAGCCTTTTCCAGCCCTAATTCCAACAAAAATTTCTCACTCAGTGAACAGTGTTCTCAACAAATCCCTGCAACCGATCCAAGCGTGGGCTTTGGGAGCCACTTCTGTAGAAGTAGGAGCACAGCATGACAGTGCAGCCTGCGAACGGCCGAGACCATGCGAATCCACACACTGCGTGGGGGAAGGTCTCGAGCAGCATTTTCCAGACTGAGCTTACACATTTCCTTTGGGGGAATAAAAAGGACTCTGTGGCCTAATACATTTTGAAAACTCTAAAGTAAAACAAAGTTCCATGGTTTGTAAACATGGGACTTCACAGAGTCCTGAGGCTCTCGAAGGAGATTCCACATAGTTTATGTTGAACGTTTCTGGAACTTACTTGACCACTGAACCCTCTCAGAGGGCATGTGGTTACTTATTGTAAGAACACAGTTTGGGAAATGCTGGGCTGGTCTTCTCTGTAGCCTTGGGAAAGTTACTTTAAGTCGCTGACTCTTTCCTCTTTTCGCAAAATAGGCGTCACATCGGTAATAGTACGAGTATTAGCTACTGACAGAGTTGCTGAGAGTTTGGACAGTCCTATCTCCAGGGACATTCTTGAAAAGGAGAAATGTTAGAACTGAGATCTCAGGGGTCATCTAGGCCGAGCTTTCCTCCCTCTTCCCTTTTTAAAGATGAAGCAATTAAGTCCTAGAAAGATGACATACTTGCCCTAAAGTTGCATCAGGACTCCAGCCTCTGGCTTATAAGGCAGCACGGTTTCCACCATTAAACTGATTTCATGTTCTTACAAACAGAAGCCAGCGCCCTAGCCTGTTTGGCTCAGTGGATAGAGCATAGGCCTGCGGACTGAAGGGTCCCCAGTTCGCTTCGGTCAAGGACACGTACCTCGGTTGCAGGCTTGACCCTGGTCAGGGTGCATGTGGGAGGCAACCAATCAGTGTTTCTCTCTCTGTGTCTCTCCCCCTCCTTTCCACGCTCTCTCTCTCAAAATAAAAAAAAATAAAAATCAATGAAAAATATTCTGGAGTGAGGATTAACCAAAAAATAAATAGAATAAAACATAAAAAAAGAAGCCAGCAAAGAGAATTCAAACTCCCCAGATGACTGGAGATTAGCCTAAGGAGCATCAGTTCTGGGTTTCAGGTGAATGAGACCTTCAAGATTATCCAACGGGGGAGCGCTCCCTGCCCCACACAGCCGGACCCGCCTGCCGAATGCTTGCATCCCCTCCCCTCTCTCCTCTCGCCCTTCAGTCAGATCCCCAGCCTGGCTCCTTCCCGTCACCGTGCCTGCCTCCAGGCGTTCCAGCTCCACGGCTATTTATTGCAGTTAGTCTACGACCTGGCCCTCCGTGTCCACTAGAATCATTGTCGAATGAGGGAAGGTGGCTGCAGCTGGTCACAGGAACAGGGGGGCTCCTGGGTGGGCGGCCTGTGCTGGGCAGGATCACTCGGTCCCCTTGCCTTGTCAGGTCCAGCAGTTCATCCAGGACCTGTCGGACATCTGGGCAGAGGTGAAGAAGAAGGACCAAACGCCGCAGATCCGGGTTTAAGGAGCCGCCGTGAGCAGCGACGGAGAGAGAAGTTCCCGATGAGCTTGTGGTCAGTCAGCCAGTCCGGCCCTCTGGGACCTGCGCCTTTCTGCTGGCAGACACCCTGCCGGGTTTCCCCTCGGGCCTCAGCCCGCCCTCCCCTGTGCACATTAAATTCGATACGTTTGTTCCTAAGTTCTCGTTTTGGTTATTCACGGGGAAGAGGGCCCATTGAGGAAAGAACCCCCCCAAAGCACCCCCCCTCTTGAAGCTGGTCACTAGGCTGCCCGGGGTCTAGACATCAAATCTCGGGTCTCGGCAAGTATCACATGACCACATTCATATGTGGAATCTAATTAACAAAATAAGCTGATGAATGGAGTGGATCCAGAGACATGATAGCATGAAACAGAGTGGAGAATCTCAGAGGGAAGGCGGGGAGGGTGGGTGGGTGGAAGGTAGTCAACCAAAGACCTTGTATGGGTATATGTATAACCCATGGACGCAGACAGTGGGGTGGCGAGGGCCTGAGGTGGGGGATGGGGGCTGAAGGGAATCAATGGGGGGAAAAAGGGACTTATGTAATACTTTAAACAAAAAAGATTCAAAATATGTTTAAAAATTTTAAAAAATAAAATAAAACCAAAATCATTCCAAAAGTGGAAAAAAAAAATCTCGGGTCTCGGGTCTCCTCGGCGTGGCTCGCACACAGTAGGTATTCATAGGGCCGCAGGCCAGTGGAGATGGCACATGGGGCTGTCTTCCCTCTACCGCTTCAGAAACAATGTGGGAGGTGGGTCTTTCTAAGTGGGGAGCAGGGGCCCACTAGAAGCTATGAAGGCAGCTTCCCAAGTCAGGGTCCCACCTCTTCCCTTTTCTCCCACCCGCCGTGAACCCTAAAACTTCAACATGGTATCAGCCACGCTAACAGGAAGAGCAGGCAGCCCCTGAGCAGGCTGGATGATGGCTCACCCCAGCCAAACTAAACTGAGGATGGGCCGACGGAAAGCCTCGGACTTAGCGTCCAAAACTCAGCTGCACATTTCCAAACCCTCAGCGGCAAAAGTCGGGTCAGAGGTGGGCAGAGGAAGCAGCACTTACTGAGCATCAATGCTCAGCACCCCCGTGGAAGCTCTGTGTCCCCGTCTCACCCAACAGGCCGCTTGCCCAAGGACACTGGTACAGAGGGAAGGGTGGGGGTTCACACGGGGGCTGCCTACCCCCAGCCGGGGCGCCCTCAGCCAGGCTGCCCTTCAGAAGACAGACACGGCCGCTGTCCCCTCCAAAGAAGGCTGGGGAGCAGGCCTGACGAGGCTCCTCGCTTCCTCCTGGCCCTGTGACCCCAGAGGGATCCCCGTGACCCCGGGGGCTGCTGCAGTCGCCCCTCTGGTCCTGCTCTGGGCTTTGTACACCCACCGTCCATCTCAGCGTGGCTCCTGGGCCAGCAAAGCAGCACCTGGGAACTGACCAGAAATGAGAATCGGAAACTCTGGGTGGGCCCCAGACACATGGGTTGTTTTTTGTTTATTTGTTTTCTATGAATCGTCATCCGAGGATATTTTCCATTGATTTTTAGAGACAGTGGAAGGGAGAGAAGGAGGAGAAAAGAAAGAGAGAGAGAGAAACATCTATGTGAGAGAGACACATCAATTTGTTGCCTCTCGCACGTACCCCAACTGGGCTGGGGCTTGAACCTACAACCCAGGTAAGTGCCCTTGACTGGGAATCAAACCCGGGACCTTTTGGTGCGTGGGTCGTTGCTCTAACCACTGAGCACACTGGCCATGGCACCATCTGGGTCTTAACAAGTCCTCCAGGTTTGAGCACCACTGCTTTGTCATGAGCCGAGCACTCTCAAGGACCGGGCTCCTGTCACCTCCACCATGTGAAGCAACACACGTCCGGGAGACCCTGTCTCACCACCTGCAGTCAGAGAAGCGGAGCCACAGGTGACAGATGTCCATACAGAGCTGGTTGCAGGGGTTGTGGGCGCCGGGTGAGCACTCTCTGCAAAGCTGTTGTCTTCACACCTGACGCTGGGGCTTGAAGTCCGCAGGGGGGGGAGTTGGGGGAGAAATATGGATGTAAAGTGGGGGAGGGGGGAGATCAAACAGGAGCCAGAATCCATATGCACAACCAGGGGAAAGACAGGAACCCATGCCGTTCTGGTCATTTCCAAGCTCAGTGGTGTGCGCGTCCCACAGCGGCCAGGACCCTGCACCTTGGAGCTGAGCACACACATGGGGCCCCTCAGCATGTCCACCCTGGGCCCTGGACCCACGAAGCCCAAGTCTGGCCCAATCAAGAGAGATTTGGGCTCCAGGTACATGATATCAGGGTCCAAGAAAAGGAAGATAGCATTGAGAGCCCATTGGAGTTTTCCAGCTGGGAAGACACCAGCTCATTGAAGCAGAAGTAACGGACTGGTTCCAGACATGAGTCGTTCTCATCAGCACAGGCAGGGAGGAGGGCTCCGGGTGCCCTAAGGGTCAAGGGCAGCAAGACCTTCAGGAACACTCCATCCCCCCAAACCTGATTGCTCTTCCCAATAGAAAGGAGGAGAGGAAGGGAGGAAGGAAGGGGGAGGAGGGTGGCCTCCAGGTGTGACAGGGCTCAGCCTGCAAGCAGCCTGGTACCAGACAACCTCATGGCTGTCACGCACGCCATGCCAAGTACACTGACCCAGAGCAGCAACGGATGTCCAAGAGCTGCTGGTGAGAACCGGTCTAGAACAAAGACCTGAGGGCTTTCGGGGTCTCTCTGGAGTAGCTAAGGGCCCGTGCTGCTGTGGGATCAGACCCTCCCTCACTTGATTGGAGCCTCTCAGCCCCTTTCCCAGACTGCAGGCCCGGGTCCCACATCTTATATTCAAGGGTTGCAGCCAGCTGGAGGGGCTCTGGAACCTTCCTCTTCTTGGGGTTGCTCTCTCAGGCACCCGAGCAAGCTGCTCTGCTCTGGGACTTTCAACCCAGGAATATCAGAAGTGCCATGTGTGCACTGCAGGGTGCTGGGGGCAAGCAGAGTCCGGAGGCCCTGCCCCAGGCAGCTTCCCTTTCGTGGGAGATAAGAACCAACTATGCACTGGCCCTCATGACTCAGTGGCATTGACGGATGAACCAGGAGGTCACGGTTCAATTCCAGGTGTGGGCTCGATCCCCAGTGGGGGGCGTGCAGGAGGCAGCTGATCAGTGATTCTCTCTCATCATTGATGTTTCTCTCTCTCTCTCCCTCTCCCTTCCTCTCTGAAATCAATAAAAATATATATTTTTTAAAAGAACCCACTGCGAGCTGCGATGCCAGCAGAGCCGAGGCCTCACCTCAGCTTTCTTGCCAATGATGGCCCGATGCCCCCCTAAGCTTTGACTCTGAAACTTTTAACATTTTGACATTGAGGAGGCTCCCAATATAGACCACGGAGAAGGGAATGACAACAGCCAGGCTTGGTGGCAGCCAAAGTGTGGGGATACCACCCTCTGAGGGTAAATAACCATTTGAGGAACTTTATGAAGAAACAAGCTGGATCTAGAAATATCCAAAAGAATGAAAGCCAGCTGCATAGTGATGCAAACTGATTGAATTAATTTTCCAGTCTGCATAACAAATAACCCCAAACTTAGTGTCTTAAACCAACACCCACTATTATCTCAAAATAGTAGGTTGGAAGTCTGTGTGGACGCAACTGGGTTCTCCGTGCATGGCCCAGATCAAGATGGTGGTGGAACCTGGCTCTTACCTGGAGAGTCCAGAGAGGAATCCCCACCTCCAAGTTCGTCCAGTTGTCGGCAGAATCCAGGTCCGTGCAGTTGTGGGTCTGAGGCCCCCATTTCCTTGCTGGCTGCTAGTCAGGGGCCACTCTCGGCTCCCGCTAGAGGTCACCTGCATTCCTGGCCACGCGCTCTGGCTTCCACCTTCAAAGCCAGCAATGGAGTCGCTGTCACGGTTTGAATCCCTCCGACTTTCTCTTCTGATACCATCCAGAGAAAACTCTGCTCTTAACAGGCTCATGACATTAGGTTAGGCCCATCCCGATAACATCCCTTTTGCCATATAACCTGGGAGTAACGCCAAGGGGTGAAGGTCATGGCGGCCATTTAAAAACCCTACCCCAGTAAGGAAGAAAGGATGTCAAAACAGCTTGAGAAGGAAGAGAAAGGGAGGAGGGGGCAAGAGGAACTGTGATGAGGGTGGTCAAAGGCCAAGATGAGGCCTGGATGGAAAGAAATCTTTCAGGTGTGCACCTGACCTAACATTTACTAGTGACACTCTCATCAACACAGGATTTCCCTGGAGCTTATAGCCCTCCAGGGCGTCAGTAAATGGACCTGGGTCAGTCTGGGGATTTCTTGATGTTTTATGAAAGTTTTATAAACATCCATTATGGATTTTTCATGGGGGGTTGGGGGTGGAGGAGGGGAGGCGGGAGAAAGTCCTTGTCTTTCAATAGATTATCCCAAGAATCCTTACCCAAAAAGCAGTAGGAACTGCTTTAAAAAATTAACAGCTTTGCCCTGACAGGTTTGGCTCAGTGGATAGAGCGTCGGCCTGGGGACTGAAGGGTCCCCGGTTCGATTCCGGTCAAGGGCATGTACCTTGGTTGCGGGCACATACCCAGTTGGGGGTGTGCAGGGGGCAGCTGATCGATGTTTTTCTCTCATCAATGTTTCTAACTCTCTATCCTTCTCCCTTCCTCTCTGTAAAAAAAAAAAAAAATCAATAAAATATATTTTAAAAAATTAACAGCTTTATTGAGATAGGAGTCATATACCATATATTCACTCATTTAAAAGTGTACAATTCAGTGGTTTTTATTCAATTGACAGAGTTGTGCAACCATCAATACAGTCAACTTGAGAAAACTTTCATCACCCCCCCCCCAAAATGCACACCTATTAGCAGTCATTCCCGTTTCCTCCCAAACTCCCAGTCCTCAGCAGCCAGTAATCTACTTTCTGTTTCTCTGGATTTGCCTGTTTTGGACATTCCATATAAATGGAATCATACAATATGTTGTCTTTTGTGTTTGGCTTCTTTCACTTAGCATAATGTTTTCAAGGTTCATCCATGTTACAGCATCTATCATTCTTTTTCATGGCTGAATAATATTCCATTGTGTGGATATATATTTATATCCAGTCATCAGTTGATGGACATTTGGATTATTCCTACTTTTTGGCTATTATAAATAATGCTGCTAT